AAGTCAAATTAGTACAATCTCGGTCAATTATAGTGTAATCGACCTCGAATTAGTCCAAATGAAGTCAAATTAGTCCAATTGAAGTCAAATTAGTACAATTACAGTCAATTATAGTCCAATTGAAGTCAAATTAGTACAATCTCGGCCAATTATAGTAAAATCGACCTCGAATTAGTCCAAATGAAGTCAAATTAGTACAATCTCGGTCAATTATAGTGTAATCGGCCTTGAATTAGTCCACTTGAAGTCGAATTAGTACAATCTCGGTCAATTATAGTGTAATCGAATTCGAATTAGTACAATTGAAGTCGAATTACTACAATCTCGGTCAATTATAGTGTAATCGCCCGTTATTTTTTAAAAAACAAAAAATAAAAATAAAAATTAAGAACGGATTTTCAAATTCCGTTTTTAAGTTTTTTTTTAAAAAAAAAAAATAAAAAATAATTAAAAAATAAAAAACGGATTTTAAAAATCCATTTTTAATTTTTTTTATTAAAAAATAAATAAATAAAAAATAAATAATAAAATAATTTAAAAATAAATAAAAAATAAAACCAGATTCTCAAGAATGCGTTTTTAAAAAAAAAATAAAAAAAATAAAAAAAATAATAAAAAAATAAAAATGGATTCTCAGAATCCGTGTTTCCTTGAAAAACGGATTTTGAGAATCCGGCTGTTTTATTTTTTTCCAGATTTTTTTTTTTTTAATTTTGTCCACGAATTTTTTGTTTATTTTATATAAATAAATGATTCGTGATTAATGACTATAATCAACTTAGTAGGACATAACCCAAATGAATATGAATAAATAAATAAAAACCCCATTGAATCCGAGGGTATCCTATTAAGATTTATTATGACTAGATTTATCCAAAAGCCAAGGGATAGTGACCAACTACACTGGTAGCTGCAAAGCTTTTCATTAAATTTGGTATCGGAATATTTCAACCTTGAGGTGACGACGTCTTTATTGTCCGTTTGATCCGACGGTACAAAAACACTGTGTCCGTTGATTAAACGGTCAACAAATCTTACCAGAAAAACAGAGTTGTTTCTGCTGTTAGAACAAATATTTATTTCGTACCAACAAAAAGAAACTCAGTTTTTCAATTTGTTGACTGTGTGCGCGCGCAAGCACAAATACATATATCTCATACAGATCAGAATCATTTTCACATTCACTCCAATAATTTTCCCATCTCTCATTTTTTCTCTCTCTCTTCTGAATCAAGAAAATTCAGACATGAGCACGACCAAGAAGAAAAGGCATGGCGACGAGTTCGTCGCTGTCCAGATTCTACAGAGTTTTGTCTCAAGCCGCCGCCGTCGCCACCACCACTTCCTGCCGCCCCTCGCCGCCGTCTCCGGCTGTTTTCTCCTCCTCCTCCTCCTCCTCTTGGCCCTCCTTCTGTTCCTCTGCCCTCCCATCAACACATCGGTATATATTTCAATTCTTATCTTTTCCCCCACTTTAAATGTCTTGTCTGATTTTTATTTTTTTTTCTTTTGTTTTGTGAAGTTGAATAATGGAGCTAACGTCGAGAAAGATGGCATTTTTCGTGTCCCGGTAAGTCTCTATTCTGTAGCTGTGTAATTAGATTATAATCTATGTATACTTTCTAAGATTACTCAATTCAAAATTTTCATCTTCTTGCCATTTTTAGATGAGTGGAGGAAGCTTAGGCCAAAATTTGTGGACTTCAAACCAATACAATTCCTTCTATGGATGCAGTAATGCCAGCCATGGCTTCTTAGGTACAATCCCACATTCATAAATATATTCAAATCATTTTTTAGTCATTTTCACCTAGCAAGCTTTAACGAAAAGAATCGAATGAAAGCTGCGGATACGAAAAACGAACCTAACCGGTACTTGTTGATTGCGACTAGTGGTGGCCTAAACCAGCAAAGAACAGGGGTAAATAAAATTCATCATGACCCAATCTGTAAAAAATGTTTGATTTTTTTTTTTTGTCTTTAATTTTTACTTGATTGGTGCAATAGATAGTAGATGCAGTTGTTTCAGCCTATATCTTGAATGCAACACTCGTCGTGCCTAAGCTCGACCAAAAATCCTTCTGGAAGGACACTAG